TGCATTTTCGCCATGTCTCCCAGGTTAAATCCTAACCCAAGACTCTGTTTAGTGTTTACTCAAAGTTTCGAATGACCCAGGGTTTACTTTTATAAGTGAAAGCCTGGCAATAACCTGGCAATCATGTAGAAAACCCTGCCACACTGAACAGCCTAGCATCCACACAACGATAGCTAAAAAATCACTAAGTTAATTTAGGGATTATTAGCAAACTATCCTACGACTGGGCCAATAAATGATATTATATCGTATCGCGATAAATTTTCATGTCAATAACAATAATAAGCTCTGGACTTTTTTACTTTATATTGATCTCTATGTGTTGTACAGCAGAAATGTGCAACAATGGAAATCTAAAAGTGTGGTAATATTGGAGATGTACCGAATTTTCAGCCACTAAAAATTATAGGCCGAAAATAGGTTATGCCATTTAATGGACCCTTTAATTTTTGCGGCTTTAGTCATTGCTTGGGTACTCTTTTAAATCTGATTTAAAAATATATATCGTTATCGTTAAATATGGAAAATAATTATCGAGATTGCATTTATGTCATATCGCCCAACCCTAAACTATCCTGAGCAATCTTCTTTATTTTGACTATATTTTTAAAATGAGTCCTACTACAGGGTTTAAGAACAGGCACACAAGGCCCACATGAGTAACCTGCTTCAAACTTCAAACCAGCTATATCCTAAAGCCCTCAGGGCTCCGCATGCATCCCTTACAGTTCAGCCATGTGTGTCCAAGCCTTTCCGAGCACATCTAAACAGGGAGAATTCCACAAGATCCCGATCTCTACACCACAATGTGGGGAGGCCGCATTCTTCAGCCACTTCCTTCATATTAAAAGAGGACTTCTTCCCAACATGCACTCCAGGTTACATACTCCTCTGCACTGGAAGCTCTTAATCGTCCACATGTTTTCGCTGGGAAACCAGAGAAAGTTTGTCAATATGTCTACGGCTATTGAATGTAAAGGCATTTCCAAACTACAATTCAAACTTTAAAGAAGAACATAGAAACAGAAATAAATAAAATGCTCTAATCATTAAAAAAACGTAATTATACTTAGATTATTAATGTAAAAACAATTGAAACAATCCTAAATTAAATGTCTTCCTTAATACTCAGATTTACAGTACATTAATCACTCATCTAATAAAATCACACTGCCCCCTGCTGGGTGTATAAAAGTTTCTTGCTGGTTTAAATGAATCATTAAATGCCTTTCAATTGATTGAGCTCCTATTCCACAGGAAGGCTAGCATAGTAAACCTTCTCTCATCATCACTGGCGTTAGCTGGAACCCCTCACTCTGCACCCGGGTCATGTAGCCAGTATCAGATGAGCTTTTAAATAGCGAAGTCTCCACTCTATGACCTCAGGTCCTAAGGGACGCAGCCTTGTGGCCTCAAGCCTAATGCTACCCCTCCCACCCCCCCAGAACAAGAGAATGGGACAACCCAAACGCTGATATCTCAATGATTTCACTGCGAGAGCGGTTTTTCTTAAAAGTGGCCAGGAGGGGAAGGCGTACAGGAAAGCGAATGTTTACGTGAAGCTGTTTTAATTAAATTCAGGCGGCGTTGGTATTTTCTGTGGTGGAGTCTGTGATTTTAGATGCCTACTCATTTCGTCCGCTATTTAAAACAAATAAAAATTGCACACATGACAGCAGCATATTTATATAGCTCTTTCTGCAGGAAATTTCCATCTAAAGACGTCTGCTAGAGGTCCAAATTTGCGTCCAAAACATCAAAGCCACATTCATATCAGATCAGTGAGAGGACACGGCCAGTGACTCGAAAAGCTATGACAACATTAAATACATCAATCATATAACGCTGAAAATCTGTAGAGCAACCAAACAAATTATAATGGTTGGAGCGTAACAGCCCTCAATGGCAAGTGATGAAAGCCAACATGAGATCACACTGAAATCCCATTCAAGCTGAACTTAAGGGAGAGTAAGAGAGACAGCTTCGACGAAGGGTCATTCGGAGGTCGCTAGCAAAGGACTGTTCCAAACGAAACATAAACATGCATCCTAATGGACGCTGGGCCGACATCTCCCAGCGCAGAACCTGGCCAACCTGAACTAATCTATCCCTCAGCTGTGGAGTTTAATCTAAACAAACAGATCTCAATGTTACTGCATCTGGAAGCTGTCATGTGCTTCGACATGGGAACGACTGAGGTGTGAGCGAGTGTGTGTCCGGCAACCGACTGTCATACTTCATCTGCAAACCTCCTGCACTTCTTGGAAAGGAAGAGTGGAAGTAAGCAACAAAGTTAAAAAAAAAAATAAGTGCAGAGAGGATACAGCTCTGGATTAGCAAGGTGTTTGTTTTAAGGTTCACACTCAATTGGCTGTACAGTTACAAAATATTACTGACACTCCAATAGTAGACGAGTAACCATGAAAGCTGCTCCAGAGGGATCTGACCTACAATCTGACTCATTTAAGTTGAACTGGATGAAAATTTGAGCATAATAAAGTCGATTAATAATCATTTAAAGGGCATAAAATAATAATAATAATATTAACAATTTCAAAAAAATAATTTATGATTAATAGTATTTTCGATGTTTGGGGCAACCTTTTTGTTTTATTCTGTAGCAAAAAGCAATATTAAAATTAAAGCACAATGTGTGGTATTTGAATTTGGGAGGAAAAGTTTTCAGACTTTCACCGGGGCTGATTGAGAAATACTAGCAAAAATTCACATCAGAACTATGATCTGTCAATTACTGTGACAATGGCCTGCTGTCATGATCTTTACAGCTCTATAAATAAAACTAAATGGTCAAAATGTTGTACATGAACTACATCACTATTATTTCTATTTGAAATCACTTTATGTACAACTAAACACAACGTTTAAAATCTTTTAAAATGCAAAGTATGTTATTATAAATATATATATATATATATATATATATATATATATCTTGGTACTAGTGTTTCATGTTTACAGTTTTTTTTTTTTTTTTTGGTGTTTGAGTAAACCTTTTTCTTTAATTTCCAGACTACTGATGATATTTATTCCAAATCTGAAACGAAAATGATTTTTAGCATTTTTTTATATTCAATTTAAAATGTGTCAGGTGTGTTTATATTCATTTTAGACAGCACAACACCAATGTTTTAACTTCAGAAAAGTTCAAAAATCTATATATAGTGGAATAGCCTTCACTTTCATTCACAACAATTGAAAGCATTTGTTATTCTTATTAACAAAAAGAGCGGTAAAAGCAATATTAACATTGAAGAACAATGTGTGGTATTTAAATTTTGGAAGAAATGTTATCATGAGAAAAACTAGCAAAAATTCACAAGTCTATTACTAATTACTATGACCTGTCAATTATTGTGACAATGGCCTCCTGTTGTGATCTTTATCACCCTGCAAATAGAACTAATTGGTCAAAATGTTGTAAATGAACGACATCGCTATTATTTATATTTGAAATAATTTGATCTACAACTACATGAGCAATTTTAGCAAATGTCAACCTTGCCATGAAAAAAATAATAATTTTCACCAAAATAGTGAAACCATATTTATGTTTTTTTGTGTAGGCTTGTATTTTACAGTACTGAAAAAATACTTAAAAATGTCTCTGTCAACGTTTTTAAAGAATTATATTTGATTTACAAAAGTCACAAAAGTGCCAATTTCACATCTGTCGCATCCATAACGGAGCATTTATTTCATAAATGCAAAAATGTCAAATGGAATAAACGTAATAAACATTTTTGTTTTATAGTGAGTATTGAGCATTGTGTCTTTTGGGTTGTGCAGGTTAATTCAGAGAATTTCTACAATGTATGTTGTATACTGTAAACTTTTTTAGTCACATCCATTTCCTAATGTAAAATATAAAAATTTTTACAGATGTATATTTTTTCTGCTCCCATAACTATGTGGTAAGTTGTTTTGGAAAATATAAGCAGATGTTTTAATATAATGTTAACATATACTGTCTGTGTGAGTTTATGTTTTAAGTTTTTACAGCAAAGTCACATGTATAATGCTGGAATAGCACACATACAATGATTAAAATGTAAAGCACGTTATTATAAACATCTATATCTCTCTACTAGTGTTTCATGTTTGTAAAGAGTGTTTCATGTTTACAGTTTTTCGGTTTAAAAGCACATTTTACTGACTTTAATATCAGTCCTTGATGTACATAACATACCATGTATTTAAAGTCCAAAAGCCAAAGCCAACTCAACCAATTAAAATAACTTGATATTAAAATAATGACTGTACAATCAATAATAAAGAAAGCCCTCATATCATCTCTGTTCATATCAAAGGATCTTTAAACTTCAGGAATGCAGATCAAAGCAAAAAGGAGTATTCGCCCCTCCCCCTTCAAAAAAAATCACCACCCACACTACTGCCCCAACAACTCACAATTGACTTATTCATAAAATAAACCAACTTTCTGTCAAAAGTTTCTTCAAGCCGCATATGAGCTGCAGACAGTGTCGGGTCTGAGTGCACGTTTCTGCCTGTAGTTCGCTCGGTTCCTGCTGAAACTCTGAGACAAATCTTTTTGGAAAGTTGAACGCTGTCCAAAACAGGACCACACACAGGCTCTGTGAGCAGCGCGGATCAGATTCAACTGCTGGAGGCAGACACACACACACACAAATCGCACACACTCACAAAATGGCGGCTATTCGTGTTAAAAACACTCACATTGCTGTCTAAATCAGCAATTCAGTGATGTATCGAACTTGAAAACAATCGGAAGGCGCGCGCGCGCTATATGTCCCACAAACACACGGCATTTGTGCGCGCGACTCCAATTCGAAGCGAAAAACGGTCTATTCAAGTTTAACCTGGATTTCTGCCAGACTTCTATACAATAAACAATTCCTTCATCTTACATGACAGACCCCCCACCCGCAGCTTCAGGTCTGCCTTTAGAGTACACTTGAGGGGAAAACGCATTAGAAAGACTGAGGAAAACAGCTTCTTACCTTCTACCCAGAGTTTCTCCACGTCCGTCTCCAGATTAGCTGCCCTTAAGCCAACAGCAAAAGCTCCGAATATTAAAAGGCCCACAACTAAAAACTTTCCGCAGTTCTTTTGTATGTAACAGCCAAGTTTAAACAAAAGTCTTTGAAACTTTGCTCTCAACCACAGCGGCGCTTTCCTCCCAGTCGCATTCCCCTACAAGACAAGAGAGAGCAAATATTACACTCTCATCAACTTTTTAATACGATTTTACTAAATGGCATTATTCAATATTTACTGTTTTTTTAATAGACTAAAATGCATAGTTGGTGGTGGAAATAGCATGTGGGGTGCTTTAATAACAGAATTATAAGAAATATCCCTTTAACGTAATTGTATTTTTAAAACAACTAGGTTTTATGGGTTATGTAATTACTATTCCACTCATAAGATTTTAAAAATAGCCTTGAAACATGCATACATTGTCATATGGCAAGCCATTTAAACATCTATTCCTTAATACTATATTTACATAACAAGTACTTTGTAATTACTAGTGAATAATCTAATAGTGACTGGCTAGTATCTTTTTATGTGACAGTTCCCTTGTAATAACTATTTAATATAATAATTTAGGGTCACTATTTCAATAGTATGTAACTACCCTGTTATAACCAGTGTCAGTGGTCTCCCAAAATACTCAGACATCAGTCCAACTTCAGTTTCATCTGTAACAATTCATTAGTTGCTAGTATCTACCATCCCTTACTACAGTCTATTCCATTTGCACCTGTATTATATACTTGTGTTTATTAGTCACTAGTGTACAATCAGATTCATTTATCAGTAAGATTTTAGCCAAAATACAGAGTAGTCATTCCTGTAACTAGTTTAACTGTATTTATATATATATATATATATATATATATATATATATATATATATATATATATATATATATATATATTATTATTATTATTATTATTATTTTTTTACTAGTTCAAATGACAAATGACTTATTTAAAACGAGCTGACTTAATGCAACTCTTGGAGCTTTTTTGGGACAACTTAATAGTTTTATGTTCAATCCACTTTATTTTGAATAAACAATCAAGTTAACTTAAACGAATTGTATTGGAACAACATGAAGGAATAGCGTGAAACCCTGCATTTTTTACATTGTAAGTTGTCTTATAAATGCCTGAAAAGCTGCTATGTTTACTATATGGAAACTCGTAGTTCATATTGAGCCACTGCCACCGATAATTTAAATACATATTTGTCAAAATTTTGATTGTGACTTAGCAAAGGAGTAAGAACTATGGCAAGCTGAATAAACTACTTAGGATAATCTTAGTTTTTTATTAACACTAAAATTATATATATATATATATATATATATATATATATATATATATATAAATGTATATATATATATATATATATATATATATATATATATATATATATAAAACACTGTTAAAATATTAGTCTAATATGAATCACAAAAGCAAAACACATCTCTGTTGTAACTGCTATTTGGCCAAATATTAAGTTGAGTTTTTATCCCCTGGATAACCAGTAGACCAGGATGACACATTCCGGTTCACACCTGGTGTTTTAATCTGTTTAGGCTTTTTCAATTGCTCTTGTGATATTTTGAGTTTGTGCACAAATGAAGGTTTTCTGAACTTTCAATCTAATATTACAAAAAAATATTGAACAATTTAGCAGAGAGAGGCTACCAAAAATGATACAGAGCAGCAGCTTTCCTTTCTGCCCTCATAGCTGCAAATCTACACAGAGCGCTGTTGATGCCATTGTGCTTTTTTGCCTTCGACCCAAACTTACTGGAAAAGGCAAAGTTTAAATCCCATCTGGCTCGTGTATGTCAGAAACACATCAAAGTGTTTAAACATTAGGCCAATTGGCAAAAGAGCAGGTCATGTTTTGTGGCTGTTCCAAATAATTCAACTAGGTAAAACAACCCAACTGAATGTGTTTTTAACAACCTCTAGAAGAGGTTGAAAGTGCTTGCTTCCATTTAGACCAGTGGTTCTCAAACATTTTTCATCAAGTACCACCTCGGAAAAAAATTGTCTTTGCAAGTACCACCATAATGAGCAGTTTTGAAATACAGTAGCATATTAGGTCTAGTAAAGCAGCTTAAGCTCTGTACAGTTTAAAAAAGAAATAACTCCTGGTGTGTTAGCACCTGGAAATGTTGCCTAGACCTCATAAATATAGGCTTTATGTCATCATATTCGTATATAAATCATTTTTGATAATTTCTTTAAATATATGTAGCATGTACATATTACATATTTGATTCATCCGCGTACCACTTGAAGGAAGCCTGCGTACCACTAGTGGTACACGTACCACAGTTTGAGAACCACTGATTTACACAATTGAATTTAACATTTTCTGCTAGTTGTTGTATCAAAAAAGCTGCACACCAGGTGTAAATAGGATCTTTCTGCCAATGAAATTGGACACACAAAAACAACTACTGCCAAGTTGTAATGAATGAATGTGAAAACAGCTTGCCATACTACTACTCCTATTCTCTCGCTGTGTAGTATAATTCAAATGAGTTGTAGACCCACGCACAAACTATCAGACATTAAACTGACTATGGCTACAATGTGACAGACTGCATCCTTTGGACACTGTAGCACAGAAACAGGTTACAATATCCAAAGCCGGAGATGCACGTGGGTCGCATAGCAGAAGGGACGCGATGTGATGCGATTTGGGAAGTGCTGCAGCCATCACAGAGGGAGTTACGACAATATTTGTGAACGGAAGAGGGCAGCCACATGGATCGTGCGGGACGAAAACTACTCCCCGTGTAGATCCTATCTGAGGGGGGCTTCAATCAGTCGGTCAGGGCGAACTTGACCAACAAATCTGAAGAGCCTCCGCTTCACTTTCAAAGCTCAGCTTCGCTTCTGACAGATAGCCTAGGTTAGGTTGGTCGGAGCGCAAACGCTGCGGCTACAGGTTGGTCCCGCATCGGTCCCGTGGCTATCCCGTTACCTAGCGACTTCACTAAAGTTGAGCACTTTGTCAGCGCATTCCCAACAAAATCCAACAGGGCAAGCATAAAAGCACCTCTGATATCTGCTCCAGCGCAAAGGCGGCATCGCAATAGCTCGGCCGCTGCAAATACTCCAAATCCGCCGCGGCGGTCCGATAGTTGCCCCTATTTCTCCGCGTTACCCTCGGCCGATCGGGGTCTCTGTTTTCCTGCTCGGAGGAGACATTAACAGCCGAGGCCATGTTGCAAGGTCTGCGCCGAGCGTCTCGGTATCCGCGCTAGTGTATTTCCCCGCGAGCGTTTAGTGATATCCGAAGAAAACCAAGTTTGTCTCTCGTTGATCCCAGATCCGCGAAGCACTTCATACTCCTGTTTGAGACGGCGAGTCAGAGTCTGCGCCTTCCATTGCAACATTTCGCGAATCTGGAGGTCTCCAACAATTGCCCACTTTCACGGCGTCCGCTGGAAAGTTCGCGCGATCAGTGGATGCTCTGCAAACGTCGATCCCTCGGTGGCTGAAGCATTTCTGTGATCTATGTGGTCCCTCCTCAGGCCGCGCGACAAGGCGATCTCTGGGAGATTCAATAGATGTGAAAAAAGATCACTCTCCATTCGGAGACAGAGGAGGAGGGGCGTGGCCAAAGCGCTCGAGAGCCCGCCCCCGGGGCTGTCAGATGGCCGGGGTTCCTGCGCTCTGATTGGTTCCAGAAGGGCAAAAATTACTCAGCAAACACGACTATTATTAGCTGCTTAGCAACAGCTCACCAAAGTAGAGAGACCACCCAAGCCGAGAGCCCTCGTGTGTGCATCTCAAACTTCAGGGGAGTCTTAAAGAAGCAAAGCCCACTTTCTGCAGGGTCCGACCGAGGCGCGCGGGCCAACAAGAGCAAGAGCGCAGTCCGACTCCGAGCGCGCGGAGGAAGCGGAGAGAGCAAAGAAGAGGAGAGTTTACTCCTGGAGACAGGACAGACACAGCTTTCTTTCTTTCTTTCTTTCTTTCTTTCTTTCTTTCTTTCTTTCTTTCTTTCTTTCTTTCTTTCTTTCTTTCTTTCTTATTGTTTGTTACAAGATATATTACATATATTTATCTTATATTTATTTATATTATAAAGGCTACTATTATTCTAAATTAATGTTCAGGCTTTTTTTATATATTACATTTATTATATTTATTTTAAATTTATATATTAAACTTTTCAAAATTTGTATAAATAAATTATAAATATTTGACATATTTATATTATATACATATACATAAGCTTCATTAGTTAAATTACTTATTAACGTGAACTAATAATGAACCATACGTGTGCATATATTTATCATAGTTTAACATTTACTAAGGCATCAACATCCAAATTCATGCTGTGTGCAGTGAACAATAAACAACTTTATTTTTATTAACTAATGTTAACAAAGGTAAAAAAAAATAATAATAATACTGTAATATATGTATTATCCATTGTTATGTTAATGAACACATCAACTAACACAACATTGTTTTAAACTGTTACCATTAGTTCTTAGAAGTCAGATGAGGGACAATTTCTAATCTGTTCTTGACACACTGACATACTGTAGGAAGAGCCAGGACACTATTAACATTATTTATTAAATACTACAGTGGCACCAATATGCATTAATTCACGCTTAATTACTGCACAGATAATCATGAGGTAATTATGACTCAGGAACAATAAATAATTTATTAATACGGCATCAGCAACATGAACATTCTATATTATATTAAGTAATTGATTAATTGTTATTAGTAAAATCTGCCATAATGTGTAAAACCGGAACGAATCGCCAACTTATCCATATGTTTTACGCAGTGCATGCCCTTCCAGCTGCAACCCATCACTGGGAAACACCCATACACTCCCATTCACTCACATACACTACAGACAATTTAGCCTACCCAGTTCACCTACACTGTTAACCCTTACTGTAGATTATGCAGTAAATGACTGTAAAATAGCCAGTGTTTTGCTGTAATAAAAGGAAACAGTATTTTACTGTAAAAGGAGCAGGATTTGTATGAAATTGTGTAGTGCAAAGAATAAATTACAGTAATTTACTTTATGTACTCATTACAGTAACTTTGACAATAAATAGCAAATTACTGTTCAACCATTACTGTCCCATACTCTGACGGTTTATGTTGCTATTTATAGAGACGTGCATTTTAAAGGCAGAAAATATTGATTTAGGCATCACCACACACTCCCACAGGCTGTCCGTCTTATTCTAAACACAAAGGTGTTAGAAAGAGTTTTCAGAAAATGCTGGCCCTTTAAGGGAGCCAGGTGTTTGATTTGTTTACTGCTGAGTGTGCTCTATTCTCTGTCCATCAATTCAGATGTAGAGTCTGATATGTTTTAGGCTTTAAATAAGAATCTACAATGAGTAAGTAAAATGTGTTCAAATGTTTTTGAGGGTTTTAAGGGTATGAGGGTATGTTTTTAAGGCTGTGTTTTAAGCTATATTGTTGTTATCTTGAACTGTGTACTTGAAAGCTACATTGTTAGCTAGTTAGCCTCTCCTCATATAACTTCTTACATTACTTTTGTTTAAGTATATGTATTTATTGGATATTTTCATGTATCTTTCTGGCAACTAAGCCAAAATTAAATTCCATCATCTCAGTAAGGTAACATGTGCACATCATCACAGGGAATCACAAAAACATGATACACATAGCCATCCACACACAAAAGCTCCACTTTCAGGTCCCAGGTTGTGAGTTTGTTGCTAAGTATTTTTTAGAGCTGTGTTTCCACCTATGAATGTATATGAGAAAACAATAGAAAAGGTTGTGGTCATGAGATTTTTTAAGTAAATAATAATTATAAATAAAAGTTTGGATCCTTTGGTTTTTCGGTGTTGCTCACTTTATCTTTGTTTTTTTATAATTATTTGAAACTTTTTATTGAGAGTTGACACAGTTTTAAATTATTTAAAACTTTAACATTTAAAATAATTATTTTGTGTTTTTTGCCGTTCAGTTTTTTTTAGTTTTTTTTTTTTTGTTTTGCATGGTCAGCATTGAGGAGAGAGTAACACATTTCACTGCAGCACTTTGTGTGTGTGTGTGTGTGTGTGTGTGTGGTTATTGGATATGTGATTGTGATAAATGTTGGCAGTTGCTTTAAAAGTATATAATATACCATGGGGGGCAAACTCCAAGTTCCTGGAGAAACGCAGCGCAGCAGAGTTTAGCTCCCACCCTCCTTCAACATAACCTGTAGATTTCTAACACTGTTGCCAGTTACTTACTGTAACCAAACTTTTACAGTGAGTAGCTGGCAACAGTGTTGCCAGTATTTTACTGTAAAAAAACCTGGTAAGGTCTAACAGTGTATAGTGCATGTCTTTGGACTTTTAGGGGAAACCTGAGAACCCGGAGAAAACCCACACGAACACGGGGAGAACATGCAAACTCCACACAGAAATGCCAACTGACCAAGCCGAGGCTGGAACCGGTGACCTTCTTGCTGTGAGGCGACAGCACTACCCACTGTGCCACTGCTCCGCCCACATCTGAACTCTTCATATATTAGAATGCAAAGGTTTCATTATTCTGTTTATTTACTTGTCAAGAAGTTCAAAATCCAAAACCACAATGAAATACCAAACAATTTGTTAGTCTTGTGCCTCAGAAGGTTGTCATAATACACATTACGATACCTTCACAAATGATGAAGATTCATACATTAAGAGTCATACATTTTCATCATAATTTAATATCACATGTTATATCGGAAGTACTATATGACTAATAGATTCATTTCGTAATCTATGAATCTTATAAAATGTTTGTTTAGTGCTAATGCAGTAATCATTAATAAGTAGTGTTCATGTACACAGTTACCAATTTTCTGTAGAATGTACCATAACTTACTGTTCACCTGAAATTATTTACCACAAAAATACCGTATTTACATTTACAGCACCATTTATCTTGTTGTAATCTATTTATAGTATTACTTCAAAATATACAGTAATTTTCATAACACAACTTTAAAACACAGTAGCATACAGCATAACTGTCCTACAGTAAAATGCTGTTCATATTACAGTTTAATACTGTGTAAAACATGGTTAACTATGTATTTTAAAGTGTTACTATTTCACATACAATGTATTTTTCTTTTTGTTTTAATTTGTTTCTCTACACATTATTTTCTTAGACACTTCTTGATTGTGCTTCTTTTTGTTCTTGCTCTTAATTTGCACAACGGACATTCAGAACTTTATTCAGTGTTTGTGCAAGAACGTATACATAAATATGTAGACAGTTAATTTTTAGTTATGATTCAATGGTATTTCAATGTATTTATATTAATATTTAAGATTTTAAAATATTTTAAAGTCTTGAGCGCCACCTAGATTGTGTAAGTTTTGTGGATGGCTTAAAGTTTTAGATTATATACAGTTGAAGTCAGAATTATTAGCCTCCCTTTGATTTTTTTTTTCTTTTAAAAATCTTTCCCAAATGATGTTTAACAGAGCAAGGCAATTTTCACGGTATGTCTGATAATATTTTTTTCTTCTGGAGAAACTCTTATTTGTTTTATTGCGGCTAGAATGAAAGCAGTTTTTAATTTTTTTGAAAAGTCAAAATTATTAGCACCTTTAAGCTATATTTTTATTCTATAGTCTACAGAGCAAATGTAAAAGTGGAGCTTATAATTCTGACTTCAATTGTACTTAAATTGTAAAGAAATAAAAACATTCTGACCTGCACTTATTAAAATATAGAAAACAATAAGTTATCACATTATATGTGATTAATAATTAAAAAACTTGTAGCATTGTGGAAAGGTGTATCATTTAAAATGACAATCAATGTTGTTTTGCTACAAACTGGGATCCAGTCTTTTAATATGGCATCAAATGATTCCTGTTTTAAAAATGCCAACATACAGTATGAATTGTAAATCACGAAAGATGCCATACACAGAAACAAAATGCATGGGACAGATAGAAAAGAGTAACATTTAAAGCTCTATTAAATTTTATTGTTTCAATCCTAGAAAAACAAACGTATACAGGCCTGTTAATGTGCATTATTAGTGCAATTTCTAAAAATACAGCTAAAGTGCTGAGCATATATGAGTACACCCCCACAAATATCTCATTTAAAGTAATATTTTCTATAGAAAGCTTTACATTATTATATTGTGCATATACATTAGTTTAGTCTGTACTGAAGCCAAATCTGGAGCTTATCTAACAAAATAACTTACAATAATAGTTGTAAAATTAGTAAGCCTGTCGGTGCTTTAACCACTAGACTATTGCGCCAACAGGCTTACTAATTTTACAACTATTATTTTAAGTTATTTTGTTAGATAAGCTCCAGATTTTGGCATGTCAGGGCGTCCTGAGTTTGAATCCCAGCGCGAGAACAATTCCCAATCCCTCTCTCCAACTTCACTTGCTTCTTGTCTCAATACTGTCCTAATATGGCCCAAAAACATATCTTTAAAAAAATGACAAATGTATATGTTAGGGAAAATATTAAACAACATTTTAAAAAATAGCAAAAATCAAGAGAAACAAAAATAATTTTGTTCAAATTTTGTCATTTGAATTTTTTTTGCAATATTTTGCATGAATTTAAAT